TGAAATATGATAAAAAAAGTCATAGGATAATATGTCGTTTAAAATATGATAAAAAAGTCATAGGTTAGCATGTCATCCGAAATATGATAAAAAAGTCATAGGTTAGTATGTCGTTTCAAATTCGATAAAAAAGTCATAGGTTAGCATGTCGTTATTATTACATATATGTAATGTATGTTGACATCTTCTGTCAGAAAGGCATCTTTTCCTTTGCTGGGAGTCATTTATATAGATCCATCCAACACCATCACACTGGAAGCAGTCAGCAGCACCTGGAACACAATACAGAAACAATGAAAATATCACTGTACATCATGGTATAAACAGAAAGCATGTTAGTATGAGTCTGTATTAGGTTAAGATTTATCTTAGGATGTATTTAAGTAAGCATTTAGATCAAGCTTGAAAAGTTTTCTTCTTCATAGTATGAAAAGGAGAAGATATTCAGACAAAGTGGAAATTCTAGTTACTTCTAATGCAGCAGGGTTTTCATAGTTAATGCTCCTGGAATAAATATTGTTTGAAATACTTTCCTCAGGCTACTTTCATGGGCGACAGACAGGAAACACATGAGTTTTCTCCTGGACAAGATGAAGATTTCTATGGATTTGACGACTGCAAACCTGTAAGTTTCCTTTCTCTCAGTTTTTTTGTTGAACCTTTTCTACCCTGTTTTCACCTGTTGGGCTTTTTCCTCCTTAATTAATAGAAGAAACCAGCAAAGATGAAATTGCAGCACAAGGGGCGTCGAAGCTCGAAGGTAATTGTGAATTTGTTTTCACGTAGTTGTAGCTGGTTCTGATGAATACGTTTTTTTAGGCTAATTTCTCTGAATGCTGTGGTGACTTAGGAAAACATGCTGGATGACGCCAGTTCTCAGAGAAAGAAGAGCAGCTTCTCACCCGAGGAGCTGGATGAACTCTACAGGACGGAGTACTCCAAACAGGTATTTTATCACTTTGTATAATATTAACGTGATGTATCATTGTAAACTTAAGTTCAACTTTCTTTCTGCAGGATGACTTTGCTGACGATGAATTTACAGGGAATCACTTCACGAGTCAAGGAGAGATGCATTACAGTGAACAACATTTGGACGACGCCTCCAAACCGGTATTCTTCTCAAACTGATTTAGATTTTTGCCGCGTCTCTAATATGAAAATAAATAAATTGTCTAATTTTTTTTGTCACAGAAAAAGTTACTGAAACTCAAAGGCTTCAAAAAGCACAAGGCTAAGGTTTGTCACTTTAACTCATTTCTGATCGCACAGACGGACAAGCTAGCGATAAGCTAACTTTCGTGTTGTTGTCTCGTCAGAGCAAAGCCAGGCCTCCAGAGTGGGACGATCCACCTGGAGCTACGTCAGGTCACTTCATGTCAGAGGCTGCAGAGGTTCGTTCACACATTTCGAGACAACATGTGACTGACTCAACTAAACCTGGCGTCTGATTGGTTCCTATAGTCTGTGATCTCTGTCACTGTGGCGTCTCTTTGATCCTTAGATAAACTTTATCTGTGCATGAACATGTGCGTCCTCGACTCTTTTGATTCTCTGATTAGTCGAACCTGAGTGCGTTTATTGAAGCTCAGATGTTACAAGGTATAACACCAGATTTCATGGGTTTCAAAAAGTTAAATTTTTGTCTATTTAAGACCATAATGGATGAAAATTGAGATTCTGTGTAAAGTACGACGGATATGAAGGAATATTTAAATCCCAGAATTATGTACAAGGTGAAGGAATACTAATAATACTAATAATTCTGACGGGGCGGGGTTGTAGACTCAGTTATCAGTTACTCATTTGCTTTGTTTGTAGTTTTATTTCAGTGCAGTAATGTCTGAATCTATAGAGCATTAGAGGAACACAAACATAATCAAAACCTACCTCAATGTATTTAGTTTGTAATATTTCAACATACGTTGGATGTTTTAGATTAGTGTAAACAAACGGTAGTAAAATCTTTAGTGTCCTGATATCTGACAGAAGAAGCGTTAAATAAATTAATATAATTCAGACCTTTTGAAAACAAAGTAAACAAGCTAATTTACTGTATCACGACTGTCGTGTTTGATTGAGCTGCACAAGCAGAGAGTTTGTATCAACAAGGATTAAACAGGAAACTACTGTTGCTCTGCACCGTGAGTCTGGTTATCTACATTTCTATCGACCCTGATGGGACACATTCCTTCAGTCACACGACGAGGCCGGTGAAGCAACTTAGAAAAGACGTATTAATACCGACAGAAGTATTTAATAGACGGTGGGAAAGTCTTTTAGGTTTTTATGCTCGATCTGTCTGAAGAAATGTCTGTCTGATGAAATATTAACAAAGTGCTATAAACGTTTTCTGTGGCTTCCTCTCATGCAGGCGGAGTGGCTGGCTGCTCAGCAGGATGAACGAGCTATGGCTGGTTTTCAGGATGAAGGCGACGATGGGGTCAGTTTCTTTGAACAATATTTTTAAATATTCTTGTCCATGTGTCTCCTGCGTACACATCAAATACTGTTTCCCTTTTCTAACTTTGTTTGTCTTTTGGTCTCAGGACACGGACAGTTTGATGGAGTGGTGGAACACCGTGGAGCGTGAGTCACTGTCTGACTTATTTGAATTAACAGACACCTGAGAGTCATTTTAACGTCAGTGATGCTTTGTATTTCAGAGTGGGACGAGTTGCCATCAGACGACGAGAACAAAGTCGTACATGAGGATGATTCCAAGTACGTTTGTGTTTATGAATTAAAGCCTCACTGATGAAAATGTTTGTCTTGTTTTTTACGTTCTGTATATTTGGGTGTTTTATTTCTATTCATAGTTGTACTAAGGTTTTTGGTTAAACTGTAATATATATTTATTTTTCATCATTTTTATCTGATAAATTGATAACAGATGTTTTTTTAACTACCTAATAATGGTACTGCCTTTTTTTTTAACCTCCATAGTGGTTGTTTCTTGTTTGTGGTTGAAATAAAAGCCTGTTTCTAAATGTCCGTCGGTTTCATCGCTCACATGAACATCAGGAATATTGATTTTATCGCTGGAGCATCGACTTTTTAATGAGGTTTTTTCTGTGGTTTGGTTTTGCTCAAAACTGTTGCCATGGTGATGGGGTGTAGTAAAGCGAGGGTAACTCACTTGCTCTACGTGTGTTCGACTCCCAGGTCTTTCAGCATCTTGGCGGACAAGGTCCACCGCGGCCTGCGAGTCTTCAACAAGGTCTTCACTGAGCGAGCCGAGGTCCTCTGGCAGTCCATCATCCTGCTCCACGCCATCACTGACGACATCAGCGAGTACCACAAAAAAGCCAAGGCCGCCGGCATCACTACCACGGCTGTGGGAAGTGTGACGGCCATCGCAGGTCTGGCTCTGGCGCCCTTCACCTTTGGCACCTCTCTGGTAATTACAGCTGTCGGTGTTGGGGTGGCGACGGCTGGAGGAATCGCTTCAGCCTCTGTAGCCATCAACGAAAATAACACGAACAACATGCATGACAGGAAGAAGGTGAGTTTACACTGTGACCTCGAACACTCGATGTGTACACATGCAATACAGTAAGAATACATCCAATATAGTTCGATACCAGAACCTAAGTTTGCTCACCTAACCGATACCACGTTTGTATGATATGAAGATGCACAATTATGTTGACCTTTTATGTAAAAAATAAAAAATAAATTTGGTGGTGTACATTTTGTATATTTAATCCAAGAATGTGACATTTCTGTCGGCCAGGTGGAGATAGCGCTGAAGGAGTATGAAGGTCACCTGCTGGACATTGGGAAGATCCTCCACTTTATCGATAAGGGCTTGTACAAACTCCGCGGTCACCCTTTCCTCAGGTCTGGCACCCAACACTACTCGGAGGACTGGGAGACTCGCAGGGCCGTGCAGATCATCAGCTTGGCCGATGCGCCCGTGATGCGAGCGACGGAGATAACGGACGGGGCCATCGCTTCGCTGCAGGGCCTCTTCAAAGGGGTGGACAAGTACTTCGTCACAGACCCCCGCGAGCTGAAGAAAGGCTGCAGGAAAGAGGTGGTGGCTGAGATCAAGGAGGTGGCCAATGTGCTGAATGTTGCAGTGGTAGAGCTCAATACCATCAGAGAACAGCTGCAGGATGCAACAGGAAACATGTGAGACTCAGTGTTGACACTCCGAATGTAGAGGGTTCTTTTAGATCAGCAGCGCCCTCTCCTGGCTAAGTGAATGGCTACTTTATTAAATTAATTTAATTGATGTTACCAAGTAGAATTATATTAACCCCATTATCAGAAATGATGACAAACTCCAGTCCACTGCAATAATGTGAAGATTGGAATAATAGAGATTGGTTTTGATTCAGCTTTGGTCACTTTTAAATAACAGGGAATCGATTTGTGTCATGTGATTTAAAGGGTGTGTGTATATGAGGTGTTTCAGGATATAACACTGTGATCTCTGATTTTTAAATGATTTGTCACCTTATGCTTTCACACGAGGACACAAAGCATCACAATCACACAGAATCTGTATTAAATGTATATAAAGTCACAAAGACGGAATTTCTCGTAGGGCGACTGTCACTTGAGTTTGATGTCGGTGGTTTTTATTATTTTTATCTTCATATTGATTATCGGTGTAATGAAGCGTGTTTGAATCATTGAAAATCTACAGTGACACTTGAAAATATTAAACTGATTTTTAAAAACTGATACTGGCTTGTCTGTACAATTTAATGTATCGCTCAAATGAGCACATTGCCAGTTTTATTTTGCAATCATATTTG